TAACTTGGTGGGGACAATCTCCCTATTTTGCGAACAGGGCTTCCCTTTAGACTTGGAGATCTTCTCTTCCATCTTAATGCTTAAGAAGCAAGCGGGTCCCCTTCCCGGGCGTAGGCAGGCGTATTACCTGTCTCCCCGCCCGAGTTTTAAGCTTTTACACGAACTTCCCAACAAGGTCCCGGCATGGAAGCGGGATTATTTCGGGGTGCGAAGTGTATTGGGGTGGCCGTTTCAAACCGGGTGGGGAATGGCCGCCCCTGACTCCGGTGTTACGCTTGATAAAGAGACGGCAAAGGGCCTCCGGCAATGGGCACGGCATGGGCTAAAATGCCATCTTTATCTGTCGGAGCCAAGCTCATTGAGGCCGGTTTGAGTTCGGGTAGGTTCCTTACTCAGGTTTGTCTTGTTTTGCTTTGTTCTTTCGCTTTTTCCTGATGCCGAACTCATTTTGCAAGTGTGATGGACTTAGAGAGGACTCGCGGCGGGCACTTGTTTCACGGCATGAAGAGGAGGAAGCGGGTTGCAAAACAAACTCGCGCCGAGGTGCCCCGAGACGCAGAGCCCGAAGTACCGGACTACCCGTCTGTGGATGCTAGGGAACCCAAGATGGCCCCTCCAGTCCATGAGGCGGCAGGGGCTCCTTATGCCAAAGCTACTTATATGGGGGCTCCTGCTTACTCTGAATTCGCTTACACGCGAGCTGGGCCCTCAGGCTCGGGGGCCCAAGGCGAGTTCAGGAGCGTGTTATCACCGAACTACGCTCTGCAGAAGAGTAGGGAGGCCATCTATCCTGAGGAGGTCGCAGTATGGTCCAAGCTTCCTTTGAACCAGGTAGCTTGTCGTGCTGCCACTCATGCCATGGTGGTAAGTCAGATTTCTTGTCCGACTCTTTGCTTTTATCCTTCTGTCGTTCCTTTGATCATTTTGTTCTTCCCCTTTTGGTAGGTGAATTCTTCAATCCATGCCTTGGTGGCCCAGGTGGAAAGGAGCTCGAGGTAGGCGCGAGCTGCCGAAGAGGCCTTCCGTGCTGTCGAGGCGGCTTCCTGAGCTGCTGAGGCGGCTGCTCGCGCTGCACAGGCCAGGCAGGCGAGGTCTCAGAGAGATGCTTAGGCCATGGGAGTTGTGGTAAAGCATATGGCGGACCTGAGGCTGGACTTGCAGCATCAGGTTGAATATCTTCAGGAGGATATCAGGGAGAGGACGTAGATTTTTTCCCAAGGCATTGAGGATGCCAAGAAGAAGGCTGTTGACGAGTACATTGTTTTGCCGCGCTTTGATGACCTGATGGTGGACTCGTACAGAAAGGGCTTTAAACTAAGCCGGTGGATGATCCGGAATGCATACCCCGAGCTTGATATTAGTGCGATATCCACCTCGCGCATTACTCAGGAGATGGCCGACGCCGCTGATGGTGAGCCGGATTCCGAGGGCGAGGCAAGACCTTTAGGTGTTGTCGAAGTGCCTTCTGATGAAGAATAACCACCTCCGGGCCTGTGAGCTCCCTTTTTTTTTTGTTCGAAATGTACACTCCCTTATTTTGGAATGGAATCTCTTTTGTTTAAGTGTTGGTTGTCAACGACCTTGCCTCTGATTGGAGCAACAAGGGGGCCTGAAACGAAGAAGAAAGTGGGGAATCTCCGAGGAGGAACCCGGTGAGATCACTCCGAAGCTCAAGTTAGTATTCTCTCAAAGGCAAGATAAAACCAGATGGCGCAAAGTTCACATACCTCGTCCTCGGGGGGTAGAGAGCCCTTTTATAACCACCTCGCGCACTCACTCCGAGGCCTCTGTCAGGTCGGGTATGATTACTTCTATGCTTCTGCCAGTTTGGGTGTCATCACCTCTGCTGGACAGAACCGCCACTGCTCCTTGTCGGAGCCGTCTCTGTAACTGGAGATGGGCGGTGGCAGGTGGCCGTTGGAATGCGGCTGTTAAGCGTCAGATCCCAAGTCAGTCAGGTGCGCCGCCCCTGGATACGGACTCCTTCGGTGTCAGGTACGGTTTGTTCAGTTCGGTGTTCCAGGGGCGAAGTGCTGGAGTGGTGTGCGAGGTTAAGTCTTGAGTTCGGATAGAAGTGTGGCCCGAACTGCCGTGGGGCAGACCAGTTCGGGTTGTTTCCCTTTGTGTTCGTAAGGCTCGGGGCCCAAGGGAGAGCTCGGGCTCCTTACTGGGAGTTCGGGCTCCTTGGGGGAGTTCGGACCACTGGTTCCTCCTCTCGAAGCTCGCGCCTTGGCGAGCTATTGTGCCGAACTGTTGCCTTTGCCACGTGTTGAGTGGTTACGAGGTCGGGCCAAATCTTCCTTCATCATGTACTATTATATAAATAATAAACTTTGGTTAATTCGATTTTTTCCATTACTTTCAAACCTGAAAACTGAAATCGATCAAAACTAAAATTTTCGATTTGGTTTTTTGGTTTTAACCAAACAAAGCTCACCCCTATTACTACATACAGCAGTTTGCTTTTCCTCAAGTAATTCTTTCCATAATCTAAAACAAGATTTAGGTTTGTACAATAACGAGATAAGAGTGGATCTGATATACTTTGAGTTGATCAACTTGTCCCAAATGCTTTTGTTTGGAAACACTTTGAGTTGATCAACTTAAACCAGGCTTTAAGTCTGAAAGCCCTCTTGATATAAAAAAAGAGATCTTATGCAAGCCTCCTTAAGTGGGCTTGCAAATTTTTTTCCATGATATGAATAGCCACCAAAAAAAGTTAGCAAACAATTTATTTATTCTATGAATAACAATTCAGGAGGAGCAGTCACACATGAATAATTAAGCTCTAAAGGACATGCTTGATTAGAGTGACCTTACCTCCAATTGTCAAAAGTTTAGCCTTCCAACCTTCAATTATAGCTTTGATCTTTCGAATGATAGGCTCAAAGCAACAATCCTCAAGTGCTTCCTGCCCATATGCACACCAAGATAAGTGAGTGGTAACTATTTATGAGAAAACCCTGTAACATTTTTTATCATGTTAATTTTGCTGCTGGGCATTTTACTATGAACAATGAAGCATGATTTCTCCTTGTTGACCAATTGGCATGATTTATCCAATTCAAATCTTATTTATCAAGCACATTGCATTTTAAAAAATAAATAATAATTAATGAAATATCATTTTCAAGGCATTGACACCTACCAAAACTTAAAATATCAAGGGGGTGTTCTTCCAAGTGCATTTTTTTTCTTGTTGTGAATTACAAAAACAAATTAAACCATCTATTTTGATGACAAATTAGTTACAAAAATAAAAACATGGAAAACATGTTCTTGGTTGTATACATGTTTTTTGGCACCCAAACTAAGATAAAAACGTTTTCTAGAATTTCTGGTTTAAGAATCATATTTTCATATAATGATCTCTCACCATCTTTCATAAATCATACAATATCAGTACTTGTAAAATTTGTTTTAGTTTTAAAAACCATCATTTTGATGGTTTCAAAAATATGAATTGATTCTTTTTTTGAAATAAAAAAAAAACTTGTTTTTGCTTCTCAAAACAAAGACACAGTTCAAGAACAATCATGGGATCACTTATGATCCCTGGTAGATGTTCAAACTGAGAAGAGGAAAAAAAAAAGAAAAAAGACAATGACATATATGTTTCTTTCTGGTTTTAGGTTAAACTAGACCCATTTGATGTTGATCCTGATTGTCTAAATATAGCTCCAGGTAGAAAATTATGGGGCCCAAACAAAATATGACTTATTGCTTTTCTTTAATGAATAAGTTATTAAGTAGGTTGTGAGCTCCTTCTGGATGAAGCTGAGATTGGGTTGATTGTTATACATGATAATATCTTGAAATATTTTACTCTATAACTATTTAGGGGGTGTTCTACAATATGAATGCTTTTGTCTTCATTTGTTTTTGAAATTGTCACATCAGTGAGAAAACGAAAACATGCTTTTGAATGACGTTTCTGTTTTGAAAAGCAAAAACAAGATGGTTTTGTTCCAAAGAACAATACATGTTTTGAAACTACAAAAATAGTGGTTTTTTTTTTAAATGAAAGAAAGTTTTGCATTATATAAATTATATGGTTTATGGAATATGATATTAAATAACCAAATAAAAAGCATGTTATCTAAATTAGGAATTCAATAATACATATTTTTTTCAGCTTTGGAAGCATAAAACACACATACAACCAAGAACAAATTTCTTTCTTTAATAATCAACAATTTGTTTTCAATCCCAAGGCACCATGTTTGTGAAACCAAAAATCAAGGAGGTCTGGGCTTCAGGAAAATTGAGGAATTCAACAAGCCTCTCTTCTCAAAAGTCAAAACAGAGATGGAGACTCTTCACAGCCAAATCAGAACTCTGGGCCAAAATCATCAAACAACAGTATATCAAGTCCAAGTCTATCTTCAAGCTAACAAAAAAACCAAGGGACTCTTGGTGGTGGAAGCAAGTAGTAGTTTTATTGGATGAGCTGAAAGGGAATCTGTTTTGGCAACTAAAATATGGAAAATCCATTCACCCACTTGATCCTTGGATTCCATCCATACCAAAGGCACCTCAACACTCAAACCTAACCTCCAAGGCCAACTACAAATGGAAAGGGTCAGTGAACTAAGGGACCAAGAAGGGCATTGGAACCTCCCCCTACTACAACAACTATTTGAGGAAGAAACAATAAACCACATCATACAACTAAACAGAATTCCATCCAAAGACCCAAACAAACTCCTATGGAAGAGTTCAAGAAAAGCAACATACTGTGTCAAAACAGACTACAAATTCTTTATATCAGCTACCATCCTCCTCAAGACCACATGAGAACTGGAATCTCATCTGGAAAACAAAAGTGCCCTTCAGGTTTCAAATATTCATGTGGAAGGCATGGTGGGGTGGAGTGAAAACCAGAGACAAACTCCTTTTTTTATAGGAAACATAAAAACTCTGCCCTTTATGTAATGCTGCTATAGAATCATAGCAGCATCTCTTCTTTCAGTGTTTCTTTGTGAGGCCATCTGGCTTACAGCCCAAATTGGAATTAACCCTGAGGAAGTAAATAACAAACAGCTGAGTCAGTTCGTCACTGATTGGGCAACAAAAAAGTTAAAAAACTTACCACCAAACCTCAGACAGAGGTATATTGCCAAAATTTTCATCATTTTCAGACTCATATGGGACGTGCGTAATGCAAAGATCCATCAACAACACATACTTGATCCCGCTAGAGAAAGCTGATTCATACATAGAACCCATTGACAACTCTGAACAAGCAGCAGACAATGCCTGGGGAGACTAAACAGAACACAGATGCCTATATTTATGTGGGTGGCTCATATGATCCAGCAAAGGGAACAGTGGGGACAGGTATTGTCTTATGTGATTTCAACAGATAGTCAAAGGATCAGAGCTGCTTCAAGTCTTCAAGCTGAATGGAAAAGAAGAATGCACCGACTGGCAAGTGATACACCTCAAGGAAGAAGCAACTAACATTTGGATTCAATTGCAATCTCTTTCTCTCTCTCTCTCTCTCTCTGAAAGACTTTAAACTAATTCATTCAACTCAGAACTTCTTTTTAAACTCCATCTATTTCCGTTAATCCTAATAGACACAATTTGAATGAATTTTAGTGAAAAGTCTCTGGTTACAATGACAGACATCATGCCTAATGCTTTGTATGTAGAGAAAATTTTGGATTCTATTAAATCAGGTAGGTAGGCTGCAAGTCGGGATGAAGCCAAACCTAGCCCAACCCTAAGTTCTAAACTCCCAACCGATTCCTTAAAATCTTGTAGAACTTCTTAATTTAAGATCTTAACTCAACTATCACTACATATATTAACCCTATGTTTTATTAATATTTGTTTTTTTTATTGGTTCTCTAAGTACAAAATTCAGAAAAAAGTGTTTAAAATGGCTATAGTTTATTATGAGTTATGATTTATAATAGATCTTTTATGGGCAGCTAGTTATGGGTGGCAAACCATAGAGAGGAAATAAAGAATAAAATATTAAAAAAACACAAAATATGTTATTAATATATGAAGGTAGGTGGTGGGGGCTATACAACTATCATGCATCTAAACAAATATGAAATGTACTATAGAGTTGGGTTCAGGTTGGGTGGGGTTGCCCGAGGGGTCAACCCTAAACCAATTCGAAGTAAAGTCGGATTCATAAATTTCAACCCTAACCCTAACCTTAACATCAACCCGACCCAACATAACCCGTCTTTTTTTGAGTTGGGTTATGGTTGGGTTTGGGCCAACCCAACCCAAGTTGCAGCCTTACAGGTAGGGGTTCAACTCAGGTTTGTCTAATTAGCATTATTCAAAAATTTTTTCACACAAGGAAGTTCCCACAAGAAAGGGGTAGCAAGTTCCCACAAATCACACAAGGAAGAGCTCCTGGATTGAAGGTTGAAGAGGCATCCCCAAACTTTTGTGCTTCACGGGCTAACCAGTCAGAGGACGACCTTGTTATCTTCTCAATTCCTTCTTGGTGTAATTCAGAGTGTAGAGAAGTCTCACGTAGTCCTCTGTATTTGCATCATATACAAGTCCAAGGTCGAGCGCCTTGTTAGGATTGAGGTGACCTGCTCCCATGGCTAGAGGACTAGTGGGTTGCTCGTTGACCATTAGTTCTGTGATGGGTTTGAGAGTGTTATTGAGTGAATCTTCTGTGGTCATCATGGCAGATCGAATGGCCCTTGGCTTCTTCTGGAGCTGTAAATAGCAACTCTTGGTGTTGGCTTTGTTCCAATACGTATCAGAGTTGCTCTTGGATCATGTCTTACATTCAGGTACTTCAGGATTGCTTGACCTTCCTGGTGACCCACGAGAATGGCTGGAAATGAGAAGTGGAGGTAGGGTTCTATGTAATTACCTGTGTATAAGAAGATAGCTCCGTCTACTCCTGTGTTGCGAACATTGGGGATTTGTAGATCAATGTTGTGATCTCCTAAAAATTTACTGTTATAGCTACTTGTGCATTCAGACATGACAATCTTGTGACCAACATTATTCAAATCTTGTGTGTACAGTCACCTGTGAAGACAAGGGGTACTCAGGTCAGTGATGAACCTCCATACAAAGATGCACCTGCAATTGAAACACCATAGCTACTGTACTGCTTGATATCAGTCTGCATGGAACAATCTCTGATGAACTGCTCACACTTGGCTGTCCTGTGTTGATAAATTCATCCACACCAGAAATTGTGGAGACACAATGAACCTGAAAAAGTAAATGTGCAACTTAATCAGCATTCTTCATGAAAAACTTGAAGGAATTGCATTGTCTGTTTAGCTTACAGTCATAATTAGCCCATCCAATGTGTTGATTAGCTAGATCAGAAACAAAAAACTTGTCTCTTAGAACAAGGTCAGCAGATAAAAAAATAAAAATAAAAAATATTAGTTTTCTTCTCTTAAGTTAGGCTTACCAACTCACAGCTTTAATAACTCATGTACTAATTGAGGCACACACACACACACAAGATTACTGGTATTGACATGGAATCCACATCACTCAAAATGTAGTTGCCAATATCATGATTTTGTTTCAGACAGCAAAACTGCTATGCAACAGTTTGACATTTCATAAAAATGAAAGGAAGCATTTCTAATGTCTTAAAGTAGAAAGGATTTAGAGAATCTAAACAATGTAGGAAGTCTATTGATGATTAAAAAAATGTGGGAAGTTTAATGATAAAACATTTACTGACAAAAAAAAAAAGATTGTTGGAGAAGTCAGAGTTGGCAAAACTAGCTAAACCTCATAACGGACTTTTAGTCAAAGTTCTATCCTGATGTAATTTGATTAGTTGCTGCAGATTAATAAAATAACAGAGTTCTTATGTATGTTAACAGTTGACAATGCTCTCATGGACCATATTCCATGATATTGTAAGGACCAATTATTGTGATTTGCATAGTTGCATCTCAAACTACTTAACATAGACAATAGTTGGGATTTCTCTGAAAACAATGTAGAGAGTGTGCATATCTAAAAAGGCCATTATCCAATGGTGGCCCACTAGCCCTGCCATTTGGGGTCTTGAGAGGGGTAGACTGGATAGTCCTAACTTTTGTCATTTTCTTTTGCATAAAGTGGCTGCTGCTCTCACTCTCATGATATGAGAGTGCACATATCTCTCATCCAAAAATAGTATTATTCAAGGAACTTTTCAAGCAGTTTACTTCTATCCAACCCATGCCTAACACTTCATTGTGAAAAGTTGTTTATTAGATATGGTTGTTGCATAACTTATGCCCACTCTCTAAAGGTTTTGGCAACTAAGCTTCTGTGTAGTGGATAAATAGTGGAAATACCTTTAAATGTTTTCTACATTGCAAATGCATTTATGAAATTTTCTTTGCTATTTCTCTCTATTGGATATAGTGTGATGCCCTTATTTATTGCAATGTATTTAGGAGTTTGTGTACACACTACACAGATTACATTTGGAAATGAGTTTAATAATGGCATTTCATGTAACCAAAAAAGTGAAGAATTATCAAAAAATCACAAATCATGAAATACAAAATTAGAAAAAACAAAAACTCAGTTATACTTCACATTTACACAACCTTCAAAACCTAAAATTCAAGAAATCAATGACGGTGGCACAAGAAGTGCTAGGGGTAGACCAAAAAGGACATGGATAAGTAGTAAGAAATAATTTAAGAACTAATAATTTAACAGTGGATAAATTGAATGAATTGGCGAAACAGGATTCATGTAGCCAACCCCATATAGCTAGGATAAAGCATCGATGGTAACAATGATGACATATTAGGGATGATTGTTTATGACCTGGCCTGGCTTGAAAATTTTTGGGCTCAGGCAACCACAATTCTCCCAGGCCTAGCTCGGCTTTGACCCGCATTAAGCCTGCAAAAAATTAAGATATGTGATGTTATATTAGGATAAACCTAGTATTAGTTGTAACCTCAAAATAGACTTTCAGCCTACAACCATTAACTGTAACCTCAGAATGGACTTTTAGTCAAATTCTTTATCGCAAAATAACTGATGTGGTTGAAGATCTATAGATTTAGAATTGTCTTGAGAAATCCTACAGCTTGTCTGTGATGTTTGGGCACACATTAGACTTTAATATCTTGGTATTAACAAAAGGAGCAAATACTATTAAATTAATAATAAGATAATAATAACAATAATAATAATAATAATAATAAAACACTAATACACTATTACCAAAATATTAGTAAAATAATAATAAAATAATAGTACTATAACAAAATATTAATAAATTAATAATAACAAAAAGATATTAATTATCAAATATAACAATAAAATATAAATAACATTATTAATAGCTTAATAATAAAAAATAATAAGTTAACAATGAATTAATAAAAAATATTATAAAAATAATAAATAATATAAAAGCAATAATAAAATAAGAGTATATTAAAAATAAAATAATAATAAAAACATTAGTAAAATATTCATAAAATAATTATACTATAATAAAATATTAATGACTTAATAATAAAAAATAAAAGATATTAATTTATTAAATAATAATCATAATAATAATAAGTATAAATAAAATGTTAATATATTATAATTAAAATAATAATAAAATACTAACATATTATTTATTAAATAAGAATAAATTAATTTTAAAATAATAAACAAAAATAATAAAATAATTAATTATTAATAAGATATTCATAAATTAATGATAAATACTAAAATATTAATTATTAAAAACTAATAAAATAACAATAACAATGTACTAATAAAATAATAATTATATATTCATAAAGTAATAATAAATACTAAGACATTTAAGTCTAATGTGTGCCCAAACATCACAAACAAGTTGTAGGGTTTCTCAAGACAATTCTAAATCTACAAATCTACAAATCTACAATCACATTAGTTATATCGAGATAAAAATTTGACTTAAAGTACATTATGAGGTTACAATTAATGGTTGTAGGCTGAAAGTCCATTATGAGCTTACAACTAATACCAGGTTTATCCTGATATAGCTAAGCATCACAAATCTAAATTTTTTGTAGACTTAATGTAGGTCCGGGCTGGGCCAGGCCTAGTTGAAATGTGGTTGCCTGGGCCTAAAAATTTGCAAGCCAGGCAAGCCAAGTCAAGTCATAAACAGTCATCCATAATATGTCATCATCATTATCATCCATGCTTTATCTTAGCTATATGGGGTTGGCTACACAAATCCTACTTCGCCAATCCATTCAATTTAAAGTCATGTCCACTGTTAAATTATTAGTGCCTAAATCATTTCTTACTATTTCTACCCATGTCCTTTTTTGTCTACACCTATCTCTTCTTGTGTGGTGGTCATTGATCTCTTGAATTTGAGGTCTTGGAGGTTGTGTAAATGTGAAGTAAAACCAAATTTTTGTTTTTCCTAATTTTGTATTTCATGATTTGTGGTTTGTTGGTAATTCTCCACTTTCTTAACTACATGAAATGTTATTATTAAACTCATATTCAAATGTAATTTGTGTAGTGCATACACAAAATCCTAAATACATTGCAATAAATCAGGGCATAACACCATATCTAATAAAGAGAAATATGAAAGAAAATTTTCATAAATGCATTTGCAATGTAGAAAACATTTAAAAGTATTCCCACTATTTATCCACTACATAGAAGCTTAGTTATCAAAACCTTCGAAAAGTGGGCATAAGTTATGCAACAGCTATATCTAATAAACAACTTTTCACGATGAAGTGTTAAGCATGGGTTGGATAGAAGTAAACTGCTTGAAAAGTTCTCATGAATACTATTTCTGAATAAGAGATATGTGCACTCTCATACGTGAGAGTGAGAGCAACCACTTTGTGCAAAAGAAAATGCCAAAGGTTACAAGTTAGGACTATCTAGTCTACCCTTCCCAATACCCCAAATAGTAGGGGCCAATGGACCACCATTTGATAATGGCCTTTTTAGATATGTGCACTCTCTACTTTGTTTGCAGGGAAATCCCAACTATTGTCTATCTTAAATAGTTTGAGATGCAATTATACAAATCACAATAATTGGTCCTTATAATATCATGGAATATAGTCCATGAGAGCAGTGTCAACTATTAACATATATAAGAACTTCCTTATTTTGTTAAATGTATTTAATTTCTTAGTTTTACATGTCATGAAAAATAATAACTTAATGGGTGATTACTTTAAGCAAAATAATGCTTTCATGTATACATCATAATAATCTATAAAATTTTTTACAATGAACTTTATGAAAAATATACAGATACATACATGTCTAGGCATGTATACAAACATATACATAATATATTTACATATAATACATCTAGATATAAACATATGTTTATTATGTATGTTAGAAACCACAAGGATGTGCACACATGACATAAATGCAAAGGCTAGCATCTAGCTGGTACTCATTCACTGTATTTTGGACTAGAACATACAATGGAGAAACATTTAAGTCAGGATTCAAACCTCATAAAATATCCATCCCTTGGTTTTGAACTCTTTGGAAGCCAATGCACCACAATTATGCCCCATCCAGGGAGAAAAGTTAAAATTTTGAATTGAAACCATTTGGTGGCATAATAGCAGTACTTTTTGATCAATGAAAGAGAATTCCATTAATATGAGGAAAAGGTATAGATTATGATTATAGATTCTGAATAGCCTCGACTACCCCACTAAAACTTGACATGTCAACTTTCAATTTTGGTTTTCACCCTTACAACTGAGCCCAAAAGCAATGATCCCTATTAGCCCCTTGTTTTGCTAGTTGGTCTGCAAATCCATTAGCCGCTCTTGGGGTCCACTGAGTTATTAATTGCATATCCTTGGATAGATTTTTAAACTTCTTGATTTAATTTCTGAAGCGCTAGGGTATTCTTTCACTTTGCTTTAGCCAGCTTTGGAATCACCTTCCACAACAAGTTTTCTCACCCCCAAATCCTTGGCTTTTTGTATCCCCAAAACCAATGCCTTTAATTTAGCTTATCACCACTTCATTCACTCAACTACCCAAAAAAAATGAAAAAGAATAAAGAATAAAATCATCCCTACAAGTACATAATATGTATTTTTCATAAAAATCACAAGTTAAAAAACTTACAACATCACCCTGTTTTATGAGGTGCTCCATGGGACTTAAGATCATGGATGCACTCCCAGCAAAGTTTAAGCTAACCGTAGGGAATATCCCATCAACACTGAATGTAAAGGACATGTGCATTTCAAATATTAAGTTAAGGATCTAGCGGTAGAGCTTTTTAAAGTCTAGCATCCATTAAAGTAGGAAGTTGTATTCCAATGATACATGTTGGTGATTTGATAACATTGATTTCCTTTAGAAGGAAATGATACCTATTGGTGAAACAACATTATTTATCTACACAAGAAAAATGGAAGAAATGAACTTCAGAGATCATGAATATAATTTATTTCACGATTTCCTTCCCCAACAATGAAAACTAAGTAGTCAATTGATTAACTTCAATCTTTTACAAATAAAAGGTGTGGGTTTATAATCCTTTCCATAGCCTGCTACAAAGTATTTCACGTCAATTAAATTGTTAAAAAATTGTGTTCCTGTAACTTACAACATTGACAAATGGATTATATGCTTTTGTTGCAAGGTATGCCAAAGTTGTTGCAGAATATAAACTGATGTTTAGACAAGAAGAGATGATATGGCATGATAGATATGTGGACCAAAGAACAAATATGATGGCATAATGACTAGTGCAATGTTTTAAAACACGGAGGCGTGACACAAGGCGTTCCACTACCTAGAAAGCATGAGACATAGTTCAGAACATAAGAAGCGTAAGCCTCCCGAATACAATAAGGGATAAGCCTCCTTTCGAGGAGGGAGATGAGAAGGGAGGAGGAAGAATAGTGTATATATAACTAGTGTGAGAATAATCATGGATTGACACTAGCCCTTATTTGATCACATAGTCATGGATGGATGATTAAACATGTCAAAGAGGAAATTCCATGGATTGACAAAACTAGAGTGAATATATAACTAGCACGAGAATAGTGTAATATTAGTACTGGAGACCAAGATATGGTTCTATAATTTCTTCTGTTACCTTGGTTCAATAATTCATAACAAGGGAGAGATTGAGGAGGATATTGCCCATATAATTAGTTCATCCAAAAAGTTGAGTGATTAGGGAATACCACTCGGGCTACAAGGAAAGTTTTACAACCATAAAGCCAACAATGTTGTTGTATGGAACAAAGTGTCAAGAAATAAATTAAAAAAAAAACATGTCTAAAAGCTAACCATGAAAGTAAATATGAATGTTGAAATGGTTAAATGGTAAAATTGGAAAAGATAGGATTAGAAATGAACATACTCATGGAAATCTAGGAATAGCTTCAACAAGTGATAAAATGAGGAGGAAATAGAGTAAGATGGTGATCAAAAACGTTGTAACAAGCTTTAACCAAACTAGTATAAATATCCATATGATAAACGCAAAGTTGTGATATAAATGAAATAGAACAGGAGGAAGCAAACAAGCCTTAACCAAATAGTTCTATAGGTAAGTAAAGATCATCAACTACTAGCTAGGGTTCTAATTTCTTTTCTCTCCTTGAAACATAGACTTCCAAAGACGGTGCGAGTGGACAAACTCCATATTTTTAAGAATCAAAACAACTATCTGATTATCAACATCCAACCTCTAAAATTTATAAATGTGTTCCAGAATAAAGAAAAATGTCCTTTGCGGATAAAAAAGAAAAAAAAAATGCAAGTGTTTCCAATATGTCCATTCACAACTTTTTTATGGTACTAATAATCCAAACAAACTTGAGGTCAGAGAGGAAACTGTAATGATTCGGCTACATGAAAAAAAAATGGCAAATAAAAGATAATAGCTCCAAGAAGAGGACGTACTGATTTGGAACAAGAGGATAGACAATATTTGGCTCCACAATCCCACCAAAAACCAATATACCTCCACCACTATTAGCTCCTATAAGCAATGAGAAAACACCTTTGGTGCAACTCCTCGTGAGGATAGTTGTGAAATGACAGACAATTCGTGCTGCCCAAACCCAAAAATCCCATTAACTGCTGTCTGGCTTGGTCAAATCTCCAGACTGATAGTTGCTACTTCCGTCTCAAACACGAAGGATTTCTTGAGAACTGTGTCAAAGAAGAACATATCTTCTACACTTCCATCACCATACTAAAAGGAGTAACCACACTGGGAATTCTGAGCAGTGCAGCCACCATCTAAAGTTTGAACCGCCAAATCACATATTTCATCTGAACAAGATACTAGAGAAGTTGTGGATGAGGCGATAACGTCAAAGAAATTCAAAGCAATCTGCAAAAATGTAAATATTGGTAATGATTTCATCTACAAAAATGTCAATGGAATTGAAAGAAGAGGAAGGAGGCGGAAAAAGAAAGAAAAAAAGCTTTACATTCGGGCCCCTATATTTGGGGCAACCAGTGCAGGCATTGCAGGTGATCCACAAGACATCACTTCCATGTCAATTTGTACATAGAATTCTTTTGGAGGAGTCCCCAAATTTTACTCTAGTAAAATAGAGTCTGGTTCAAAGAAAAAGAAGTGTGTCAAAACCATCACAATAAAATATTAGAAACAAAGAAAAAGAGAATTACTTGCGCTGTTACACACCGATAAATCCCCACCCAGTAGAGTCTTAAAGAGATCAAAAGCCGAAGAAATTAAACAAATAGAGAAGAATAATCAACATCTTCGAAAGCCCATCTATGAAGTACGTCAGAAGAACCAAAAGAGAAAGAACAATATAGACTCACATAGCTGTCAATTTACAAACTAAAAACCTCAGAATATCAACAATCATCAAATCCGGAACCCATTAAACAAAGAAAAGAAAAATAGTAAAGAAGCAAAGAATATCAGAAAGCCCATCAATATAAATTACAAAATAACCAGACCCGGAAGCCAAGAAGAGAAAATTAAGGAGCAAAATAAAACGAATTCAAGAAACAAGACGCGGAAGCCAAACGCCATCCTCAATTAAACCACGGACCAAAAAAAAAAAAAAGCAAAATTGACCTTTCCACCCTGCAAGATTCGGCGGTGCCTAATCCTGTCACGAGCTCTATGCTCACTCAGCTCAACTCTCTAGTCCACCGGAAAGGCTTTTGAGCTTCAGCCTCTTCGAAAATCCACAAAACAGCACCGCCAGAAAGAAGACGGCGCCCAAAACCAAGATCAGGCATGATTAAACACCAGCATTTCCTTTTGATTCGCTTCTCACCCTCTCTTCTATCTCATTCCCAACAACAACAAAAACAGAAAAAACAAACCATACAATTCAGATGCGAAAATCGAGGTCAGTGTCTTTCTGTATCACTGAAAGCACAAAAAGAATGAGAGCGAGAGAGAAAGTAAGAGACATACTAGAAACTACCCAGGGTCCCATGCAGAGAGAAATCAAGAAGAGAATAAAAAGACGTTCGACGAGACCACCATAACGGCCACTAACAGAGGATTCAAAATCAGATTACATTACTGTAAATATATATGTTTTCTTTCCTTACCAGTTATTTTCACCTTTTAACACGCACTCCCCACACTGGTTTCGGGTCAGGATGGTAACAGCCTGTGGGTCCCCCAGTTCACTGGCACAGATGTCTGCATTTGCATTTGTATATCCATTTTTATCCAAATTTTAAGATACACGGAATCATTTCTTTCTTCGAATCCAACGGTTGATATTCTCGTGCTCAAATGATGGCTGTCTTATCACGCACAGGGTTCTTTATGTGCAAAAACGACCGACACCGACAGGATTACGACACCTCCGGCACCGCGCATCTTAACGCCTCTCTGCTTACTCAGCTTACACGTGGCCCAAGAGATTATGAAATTACCGAATTGAATCTCTTGGACCACACGACAGTGACACGTGTAGATTTCTTTGTACGTTTAAAGAGAATCTTCTTTAGCAATTAGGTCCGATTATGATTGGTCGAAACTCTTCCTGTAATTGCAAGAATTGAAATAATTTAAAAAACAAACCAATAACCGATCTCCACTCTGGTTCCTCTTGTAATTGACATATAGAAGCACGTAATTTTCCTTTTGGCAAAATTAAAAAAAAAAAAACACTTTGAAATTTTATTTGTTTACATATATCCCAAAAATCACCTCCAACCAATAAAACATTTATTTATTTTGATGGGAAACCAAATGTAACATTAGAACTTGCGTGACAAGATAATTCAAAACCCGCTTATTGACCTATACAAATCTATAAATCTATCCAATTAAAGAGCTTTAGAGCTATATAGCCCGTGTCTCTCTTTTCAGATCTCATGAAGTGAGTGATCTGGCAGACTGAGAGATATCTGCAATTTGTCAATCTTTTAGAAATCCCAATTGGAAGGGAGAGATGAGATCTTGCATGATAGGTGAGACTAACCATTTGAAAATGAGCTTGTATAAGATTGCATAAGCTGATTGTCTGATATGGTTATATTGTAGATGAGGGAGAAGGCTGTCCAACAAGTGGGTGTCAAAAAATTCTGGCAAACCCACTGGTCTCCGTGATAGCAGAATTGAAGAGAGAAGCTATTTCACTATTGTTGGAACATGGAAGTCCATGACCCATTAGGAGCTTTCATCCACTCTATGCTATTTTACACGTTTCAGTTGTTAACCATGCAGTGAAAGAATTTATTATTTCCATCACCATCCCTTAACCAGAGCTCCCTAGGACTTGAGCTTCCATGGTTGTTTCTCTTTGAGAAAAGCCAGTAACGATATTGCTGAGTCAATGATTTTATTTGAGATGCAGCATTATTATTACTACTAGAGACCAACATTTTGCTCCCATTCTTCTACTATGACCTAGGTGCAATGAGGATGGTCAGTCCAAAAGGAGAGGAAGTAAAGGGGGAGATGTCTATGGTTAGTTGATTACACATAACTTTTCGTTGAATATACTCTATACTCACTCATGGAGAACGAGCCCTTGTGAAGTTGATGGAGTTGTCAAAGTGAGGTATGGGTCTGAATGTAATAGGCATGTTTGGTAAGCACAATGAGTGAGTATGTAATAGCTGTGTGACATATGTCTCAGTTAATGTGCCTTTCATCTAAACTTTTTTGCTCCATTAGACAAAAATTATCCATTATTTTATTATCTTTGTCCAAATAATTAAAAATAAAAAACAATGAAAAAAGAAAACATAAATGAGTCCCAAGTCCCAATACGTTTAGATTTTCCTTTTTCATTGTTTTTATTTTTTATTATTTTGACAAAAATAATAAAATAATAGATAATTTCTGTCTAATGGGACAAAAACGTTTGGATGAAAGGCACATTAACTAGGAGTCTAGGACATGTGTCACACAGCTACTACGTGCTCACTCATTGTGCTTACCTAACGTGCCTACTACATCCGGACCCGGTGTACATGGCCACGAGTGAGGCATATCTTTGCTCAAGAATATCCCATGCACCCTTGGCAGATTTAAAACCAACCATGTAGGGTAGAGCAGATGTGGAAAGAGGTGCTTAAATCCAAAATAGTACCATTTAATTACATTCAACCAATCATGTTAAAGTCTATTTACTTTTCATTCGTTTATGTTTCACAAAGTGTACTCTCACTTTTAACAAGTGATATACTTACCATCACTTTCAAGGCGGATGCACTGTATAATTTTGCTTAGATTAAAAAATAAATAAGACAGCTCAGTCCATGGATGCACCGTATAATTTTACTGTTGTACATACAAAGAAGTTGTTTCCAAGATTTGAAACTTGGTCACCAAGTCGCAATAATGGAACAATCCAACAGTTGAACCAAGGCAGAGCCCAATTGGTAAAGGTGTGGTTCGTAATGTTGTAAAATCAGAAGTCCATGATATCTCTGTCTCTAATTAATGGTCTTAGTTACATTAAATGGGCATGTTGTGACTGCATTTTCCTAAGGCTTAACATATGATGTGTCCAATTACTTTTGATTACCTCATTTTATTGTGGAAAAACCCAAGAAAAAATATTTGAGTTGCACTCAAAATAAAAGTAAAACAGAGATAAAGAGAAACAAGCACGGAGAATACACACAAATTTATGTGATTCGGCTTATAGCCTACGTCTACGGGCGAAGGAGGAATAGAAATCCACTATGAAGTTAGTAATAGAGAAGAAATACAGAGTTGTACTCTCACAAAAAATCCCTAAGCCCCAAAAATACACCCAATGTCTCACTCGTCCCTTAAAAGACTCAAACTTTGTGTCCAAAAGAGAAAACCCCTAAAATACATAACTCTTCGTATTCAGTTCGGACCTATAAGATAAATATGGGTTGGGTCCATACCGCCGCCGGGGGGGGAATGCACCCCCACATTCCCCCCCCCCCCAAATGATGATTTGTGGTGGGCTACGGGTAGCCCAAGCCCTACACATCCACCACAAACCACTATAAAAATTTGCCTTCGGGTTTTTCTCAAATTAATTTAAAGCAGATTCATGAAACGGCTCGCGATAAAGAATTCAAGACACAAACATAACATCTAATCTAAGTATACATGTTGTGACTGCATTTGCCTATGGCTTGACATATCATGTGTCCAATTATTTTTGGTTACCTCATTTTAATCTAAGTATACATGCTGTGACTGCATTTGCCTACGGATTGATGTGTCCAATTATTTTTGGTTAACTCATTTTAATCAGGCACAGAGAGACTGGAGGGCTTCTGAATTTACAACATTACAAACCACACCTTTACGAATTCAAATCAGTGCCCCACGGAGCACACCCCACAGCACATCCCAACCGTGTACTGGGAACATCTCCAAATGATAAGATAGATGTTCCTGATGCACACTGAGATGTGCATGTGTGGAGAGATGTTCCTAATGCACACTGAGATGTGCATGTGTGGCGCACTCTGTGGGGTGCCATGTGAACTCCACCTTTACCAGTTAGGCTCCAGTGCATTAATTCAGACCATTATAATGTCACTGCAACTATGCTGAACAAAATGCTTTTTATTGATGACTTAATGCAAAAGTTCTATCTTTATTCATTTTCTTCTACAATCACCAATTATAGGAAGATAAAGAAATGCATCCTTCAGACTGAAAACAGTGCCAAGGCAAACAAGATAAGAGGGCCAGAGAACAGCTACTCTACATTTCAGCTGATTTGCTGCATAATCAGAGTTAACAACCCAATAATATCTAGATATTTGAAAACTTTTAACATTTCCCTCCTGTCAAACTTTGATAGATCTTATCAATTTCTACCTGCACAATATTATGAGATGAGTTTTTTAATACTACAGTATTAGAATAAAGAATAAGAATACTGAAAAGAAAGACTGATTTATTCACCTGGTAGTGTTTAACCAGTTTGTCTCTTATTTTCTTCAGTGTAGGAGTCATCAAATCCTTTTGCAATTCAAATGGCACGGAATCCAGAATAACTCCTTTGATATGCTCAAAACCTCGGAGCTGGTTTTGAAGTGAAGCAGAAATAAAGTCATTCAAATGAAATAAATATTCTCACAGAAAAATATTTTGGTATTTCATTCAATACTGTACAAAAAAAGTTGAAATCTGTGGAAACATCCATATAGATCTGATGCTACTCTATTTATTTTGTCTTGAATAGGAAATAAGAAAGCAATCTCATGCCTAACACCATTACCATTTTAATCATTCCAACCACCTGTATCAAATTTGAACTCACACAGGATATTCCCAGGGAGGTTCTCTTTTGCATGGCTTATGCTGGTGAATTTGTTATTTCTTGATGGGCGCTAACTAAGCTGAACGTGGCAATAGAAATGGGAGATGAACTACTTCAATATTCTAGATGTTCAGGAACAGTGAGATTCCAAGGTAATACCAAAAAGTTAAAAAGTAAAGCTACTATGGCCTATCCCACCCCTTTCCAGTTGGATAAGTCGACTGCGAATGTTCTGAGACAGAACCTGAACTCCAAAATTATGGAAGGAATATGCATGCAAAGGAGAAAAGCTAAAACATAAGATAAAAGGACCATAATACTAAAGAAGCACAAGTAGTGAATTAACAGGAAATTAACCAAAGAGTAAAAAGCAGATACATGCACCCAGTTCAACTTATAAATATACAAAGTATTACCTTGTTTTTCTCTGCTACAGACTTTAGCTCGAGGAGAACATAGTTCCGCAGATGATCAAGTGAACATAATTCAGAGAAGGAACCTTTTTGACCATTTAATTCTGCCCACTTCCTGGTATTGTCTTCATGTGGTATGACAACTGCTACTAGCATCGACTTGTAGCTATTTCCATACACCCATATCTTAAATAATAAGATCAAGAAGCTACTTTTTAGGAACCTTAATCTTGGTTGAAGACCTAGCCAGAAGAGATTTTTTCAAGAAGTAAATTAAAAATTTAAGAAAAGCACTCACATCTGCAACAATAGGGGCAAAAGCATAGACTTTCTCCAAATATTCAACTGCTACATACTCTCCTTGAGAGAGTTTGAAAATATTCTTTTTTCTATCAATAATCTTTAGACCTCCACTAGACAGCAGTTCACCTATATCTCCTGAGAGGCATAGAGGAGAATTAAATTTGCAATGAAACCATAAATCTTCTGTTTAAAAACCAGCATCTTAGAAGAAATAATGATCTCAACCTGTATGAAACCACCCATCTCTGATCGATTCCCTTGTCAGTTCAGGATTTTTATAGTATCCAGAAAATATTGTTTTCCCTCTTACACATATCTCACCACGTGGAGGATTCCCAAGTGGATTGTAGCCCATCTCTGGAACTTCCTCGAGGCGTAAGTCACAGTATACAGACGGAATGCCAACACTGCCAAACATTGGCATTACATCTGGAAAGCCTATTGTTGCCAACCCGCATGTCTCTGTCAATCCTGAACAAGCCAAAAAATACTGGATGAAATTCCCAAGCAATTCAAAGTATGACCTATGTGCTGGACAAGATTTTCTCTCATAATTTCAGCTTGGTGTTTTGGTAAAAATTAAAAGACATACAAATTAGTGAAGAAACTTAAAGCATGGATGAGTCATAACCTCTCCTGGTGACTTAATTTTGCATGTCATACACTCACAAATACCTAAAGGTATTAAAGAAGCATATCCCTCAAGACAAACATATAATACAGTCCAAGCAAAAACAAGGGTGGCTCATAATAACACCAAGCAAAAAGTGCATACCTACTCATGCAGGATATGTTTTAATATAGATGGTGAAATCGCTCTGGACAAGTAAAAATCCTCAAAAAACATGGATATTCAAGAAAGATGCAAGAAATAACTTCAAATTGTTGAAATCAGTCAAAAAGAGCCAAATGATAATGACATATTGGCCAACAGTTACAATAGAGAATTTTCCACAGTAAAGTGAACCAAAGTCTCTCTTAATGTTGATTTATAATGCAGTCTGCCAGTCTCTCTCAGCTCAGGCAACCACATAATCCTTAGTTAAGTACCATATGAATTATTTATCCACCACTTTAGTAATTGATAATGAAAACAATGATGATGATGATACTGCTGATGATGATGATGATCAAGATTTTATACCATAGCCTTGGGTGAAAAAAGCACAGCTAGTAACCCGTAAAAATTCTTCTACTTCAGAGTTCAATGGGGCACCACCAGATATAATTAATCGAACCCGACCACCTAGTCCAGCTTTAACCTACAATCACAACAAAGTTAAATTATATAGACAAAAAAGTAATTGCATAGAGCCAGATGTGAAATCATGGAAGGTAAGGATATTTTATAGGGAAATATTAAAAGCCAGTGTATCGCCTTATTGAAGTGTCATGTGTTTGAAGACATTGATTTATTAGCTTTGGATCCTACAACTATCTTGATAATTGTAACCAAAATATTTCCTTCTATCATCAAGACAGTTCAAATACTGTGGATTGCAGTACTCATAAGAATCCAGAACTACTAGATGATAAAGTAACTAATAATATGCAATTTCCAGAAATAATTATAATTTTGCAAATATAAGAACAAGCACAAAAGGATGACATATAGCACCTTCCTAAATGCTAGTAAGTCTGCCAGCGGTGAAGCATTTTTCTGTTTGTACCCTAAACTCATCCAAGCAAGTTTGCTGTATTGCAATAAAAAACCCGACAGTATCAATATTATACTAGTTTTATATAATTATGGAAATCCTGCTATTTCTGAATAAGAAACAAAACTAGGTGAATTAACTTACTATTTGTAGAGAATGTCAAATATTTTCCTCTTTACTGGACTAAGTTCTTCTATTGTCTTCATTGCACCTGAAATCAAGATGCATCTGACCCATTATGAATCTAAATAACTCAAAATAAAACTACAGAGAATATTCTAAGAGACACAAAATAAAAAGAATTCCTTGCCTTCACGCACTCTCTCAAAAACTCGAGGAACACCAGCAAAAAATGTGGGCTTCAACTCCATCAGATCATCCTTCAAGGCATTGATATCCTTCAAATAATAGATGAGATCAACAAAATTCTTTTAATTGAAAGAGTCTTTTGACTTGAAAGAAAAAGACTTTTGTATAGTTGTGGAATGAAAAAGAAACTTGAGGGTTTTGAAGTTCAAACATGAATCTATAAGTTCCAAGCAGTATACCCCATGATAGTAGCCAACAGAAGCACCCCTATGGAAGAAATATTCCTCAATCATGCGATCCAAGATATGAGCAAGAGGAAGGAAAGAAAGATAGACATCGTTCACAGTCATCTATCAGTAGAAAAACTCACAAAACGTCAGGGAAACACAATATAAAAAGAAATCTGAAGCTGAAGTACCTGACCATCAGTATACTATAGAAACCTACAAGTACATCAAAATCTACCATTTCTTGACACTCACATAAAATATCCAACTTCAGAAGATCTAAAGTAGATGTTCCATTACAGAAGTGTCAGCATATGTGTGTAACGTGAATACAAAGTCATGTTCAACACAACCAACTTACAAGAACTGTAATGTAACGTTGCATAAGAACAATGCTTCAATAGAATATTGGCAGAAGAATTAAGAACTTAACCATCATTGAAAGTGTGCCAACCAAAACATCTAAGTAAAATTTGACTAAGTAGTACAATCATATCCGTTCAACCAATAACAAACTTATTGATCATGATGAAACAAGAAAATAAATAATAAACATAGTTGAAAGGTAATTGGTGAGGTCAATAATCTTGAAGAGTTAGGACTGTTAAATCAAGAAGTACTCTTGTTATGTGAAACTCCCCATATTAGATTTCATCAAATCCAAGTAACATGCATCCTATTTTTTCCAAGGTTACTGCTGTTGTGTTAGCAGCCAAATACCAGACTTCCACCATGGACCATATATTTAGTCTAAAGATTTAAAATAAATGAGTTGTTACTTGAAAACTATTAATCATAATGACCATACCAAGATATAGTGGATAAATCTATGAAACAATTATATGGTAGATAGACAATTCTATCATATATGTTTTAGCATGTTTACCTTGTCTTCAAATTGTTCCAGGAATAGATCGACTCCTTTCACATTTGCTGCAATGCTTTCATGTGTTAAAATAACACCTTTTGGATCCCCACTGGTCCCACTTGTGTACATTATTGTACATATACTGAAAGGCTGAGGTGGTGTAAGTTCAACCGGATTTTCTTTTCCCTGATTAACAACAGGTATGCAACATAAACTTAAATAAAGTAGAGAAAAGACTCAAAGAACAATACCATAAACAGAAAATGTCAATGCCCCAAGTGCATGCAACAGTATGAAAGTATAAGATCCCAGAGAAGTACAATCTAACACCAAAAAAAACTAATTATCCAATTAATAGAAGACAAATTAATTATTTGAATAAATTACACCCTCACCCCAATATACTCACACAACCATATATACAAGAACTTAAAATTTTGGTTTCCAGATAATATCTTTTAGTAAATTTTTGACATTCTGAACGAAACAAGAGAAAAGATATCATATATTTTCCTATTTGTATCTTCTAATTTTTGTTTCATCTCTATTATGCATTTAATTGCTATTCTTTCTCTTATCCTTACCCATATTTGTACAATTCTTTCCTGATTCATTTAAATATACAAGTATACCAAATTCCAGTTCTGCTTCATTTCAATGGGAGTTTAAATTGGAAAGAAATGGCAAACTTTCAAAATTTTAAATTAAATTTAAACCGTGCATACATGCATATAGGCATATATACATGGGGCGGCTTTACTAGTATGGTGATTCAGGTTATAATGGCCCAAGAGACTACCTTGTGGCAACTTATTTTAGATAACCAAAGGAATCCCTTTATTCTCTCATCATGAATCATGGGGAAAATAGCCAAAATACCTTTCCATGTATTCAAAATAATAATCTATTTAAAGGAATTTTTTAAGTTAAAAAATAGAAAATTTGGATAGTCATTGAGGGAAGCATTATTGTACAAGGTGGTGTATGGGACTGATGTGAACAGGAATGAAGATATCACCAATTCAGCTCGTTCATTATCTTATGGACAGTCTAGTCAGCTACAGCCTACAAGATCCTTTTACACAGCAGAAATAGGTAGGGGTGTGTAGGGAAGTTCTTTACTCGATCCAATAAGGAAACCTTTTCACACAAGCACGCGTGCGCGCGCACACACACACGTATATATATAGACAGAGAGAGAGAGAGAGAGAGAGAGAGCATTTTATGAACACCTATGTTAAAAAGTATTTGAAACCTCAAGAAGGGCCATATGTAGGCATGGTCTTCTATGACTAAAGGCAAGTAAAATGAGGACATGTAATTGATCAGAATACCATAGAATACAACTATTGGGACAATAAATTAACTTTCTACATAAAAACCATAAATCACAGAAAGACATGAATAAAGATACCCTCTTCACCTTCTGACAGATATTGCTCTACCAGTTCTTCCTGTGGGCATTTGTACAAACTGTATGATAGTTCATTTCTCAGATACCCCTTCAATTTTTATATGTTTAGAGGAGATACTATGTAGAATGGAAACATGATTTGTCACTTACATTAGAGACTAAGGAAAAAAATAAGGTCATTTCTCAATGTTGGCCCAAGATATCTGGGGTCTTGGGAGGGGTGAACTCTGTAATGAATAGGGACCTAACCATTGGAATTTTTTACACAAAGTGTCTGATCTCAGACTTGGATCTGCAATCTCACGCTTGCCAGCCCCGACTTTACCATTACATTAAAAAATAACACAATGTTTTCTTAATACCTTCTCATTTCCTACATGTTTCATAACATTCTCCATTATACTAATACGAAACATCATTCCATAATTTGGTTTACTAAATACTAAAATACAGTTGAGAAACTAACCATCTGAAGGAACTCATTCCAGGAGTATGGTTTCTTTCCAGTGTTGACGAGATCATCTTTCACTTCACTTGTGAATGAAGAAAAGCAGATTATTGCTGTAGCCACAAGAAGAAACTAAGAAATGTCATACAAACCAATTCCATCAGTTGCACAAAAAAAATTTCCCCTAGTCAGAAATATGCTCACATTTGAGCCGTTGAGCAGATTTGCAATCAGGGCTCAGAAGCTGCAAATAAAAGTTTAACATCACCCATTAATATGAGGCAGCTTGTAAAAGAAAACTATACTTGTGTAAAGAACTAAAGATAAAGAAGTTGCTCACTTCTTTCACTTTCTTATCTTGGACAAAAACAAAATCTATCTCTGCATGCTCTATAATGAAATTAACAGCCCCTGGGCCTGCATAGATAAGAGATCATAGAGGATTTAAATAAATCACCTGAAATATCTTAGAAAGAATGACATTTAAAAATGAAACATGGAAAAAGCAAGAGGAAATCTAGAACATCCACAAGTAAACCTAAGCATGGTCCATCATCATCCTATCAATAAGCATGTAATACACCCGGGGGGGGGGACCAACCAATCTAAAAGATTCTTTCTAGAATGTCTCCAATGCCATATTCCAACCCAATGAGACAATATTAGCTGTATAATCTCTACTGCTTTCTTTTAGATAACCATAAACTAGAAATGGTGAACAACCTACCAAGAAGTGGAAATGAAGGATGAATCTAAGTGATTAAAAAGGTGAATAGCCTAGAAGAGACCAACTACTAGAAACGGTCAATCAATAAACTTGGTACACACCAAGGGAGAGACCAACTACTAGAAACGGTCAATCAATAAACTTGGTACACACCAAGGGAGAGACCAACTACTCTAACATATTCTTTCTACAAGGTTTTCAATTCCAAATTACATTCCAATGGAATAATTTTACCAGTCTGATCTCTATTTTCATTCTTTTAGATGAAAACCATGAACAACCTACCAATAAGAAATTAAAAGGGTGAATAGCCTAGAAGACAATGTCTACACAATGAGAAGTTATAATCATCTAACTCTGTATAGTTCTGTGCAGACTTCAAGTGATGAGGCATCCTGCAGAACAAAAGATCATGGACCAAACTGTTGACAAGTACAAAATAGTCCACAGCCTTCTCCAAGGCCCTTTGATTGCACCCACTAAGAATCCAGAACACGGAGTTGGATTTTATGAAGTCCATATGCTTGATTATTGGTCCTATGCCACTTTCTTTTCCTTTGAAGCCCCTATGGCACATGATAGTAACCCAACTTATAGTTGACATTAGAAGCCTATGGTCCATGGGACTTCAGCATGCAACAGATCACACAGGGTCCACCATGCTCAATAGTTGGTGAGGCTCCAGTGTTTGGAACAAGGATTAATATTGAGATTCCACAACCATTGTAGTTCACACAAATACTCTGGTCATGGAGAAAGCAACAGCAGGAGGTAGGCCTTCATGGATTACTTGCTTTGGATCATAATGTAAAGAGACTGGGCTGAATGGGCCCTAGTATCTTTTCTTGTAGTTTGTTTTATTTATTTGTTAGCTAATGGGCCTATCTTAATGGGCCTGTTATTTCTTTTGCTAGTTCTCTTTATGTTACTGCCTAGCTGGCCGCCCACTTAAGGGTATACTTGTAATTATGTTAAGATTGAAGTTTAGTAAAAGGATTAGAGGAGGGAGGGAAGAGACATTCGAACTCTTCTTCTTCTTCCTCCTCTTTTCTCCATCTTCCTTCTCTTGTACTGCTGTTATCTTCTTTTCTTCCTCTTTTTTTCTAATTTTTCCCAAGTTTACATCAGATTTAGAGAACTGATTTACATCTTGGTATCATAGCAGGTTTCTTTCTTCCTTCTTTTCTTCTTTTTCTTTTCCCATAAACCCTTCTATTAAGAGAGTGTATGGAGAGATAGGTTCTCTATAGTTCAGAGGATCTTTGGCCTAGTTGGTAGAGGGTTTGGAGAGTGTAAATCTGGCCATATATTGCCAAGAAGTGGTGCTGTGCTGTTTCTGCCCAAAACCCTAGCCGATTAGAGATTTTCGAAGTTACAAGTAAAAGTGAAGCTTTGGGTGTGGCACTCTGTGCTTGGGAGGTGTCTTTTGACTTCTAAAAGAGGGCGGTTCAGGTTTGGAAGAGATTGGGAAGCTCTGGTAGGAGCGGCTGCATCTTCTCTCTTTCTCCCCAACAACCGGACGTAGTGAAACCCTAGCTTTCAAGCATCTGGGTACTGGTTTGACTTCAAGTAAGTTTATAAGGACCAAATTTCTGGTTTTTTTATTTTTGTTTGATTAATGGAGCAATACGAAAGTGAGTTCAAGCAGGTGCCGGTTTCCGAGCTTGGCTCGGTAAATTCCGTTTTGACTGGTGTGATCACAATCAAGCTAGATGGGACAAATTATCTTGCTTGGGCACAGCTTATAAGGATTTATGTCTATAGTGGAGGAAAATTAGGGTATCTCATAGGCAGTAAAGTGAAACCCAAAGAGATAGACCCTAAATATGAGAAATGGATGCAGGAGAACTATACTGTCATAGGATGGCTAATCAACTCTATGCAGCCTCATATAAGTCAGCACTATCTCTGGATGTCCTCTTCCAAGGAGATCTGGGACAGTGTTACTGAAACTTATTCACAGAAGTTGAATGTGGCTAGAGTCTACAAGCTGAAAAGTGATGTGAAGAACCTAAGACAGGGGGAGAAGAGTGTGGCAATCTACTATTCTATACTGAAATCCTTATGGCAGGAAATTGATGTTATGGAGACAATTGCATGAAAGACTAAGAATGATTCAAAAATGTTTAGGAAGTTGGTGGAAAGAAACAGGGTGTTTGAACTTCTTACTGGACTCAACCCTGAGTTTGACATCATTAGGCAGAATATTCTGGCCAAAGATGATGTTACTCTTGCCTAGGCATATGCTATGGTGAGCAGTGAGGAGAGTAGGCAGCAGGTTCAGTTACAGAGTCCACCTACGGAACACTTTGCACATGCCGGAATAAAGCCGAAGGGTCCAACTGAGAAGAAAGAGCAGGTATGTGAATATTGCAAGAAATCGAGGCATATGAAGGACACTTACTGGAAGCTTCATCCTGATCTTCTCCCTGACCGGTTTAAGAATAACAACAATTTTAAGAAGGGCAGTCAAACAGGAAAGCCGAAGACAACTAATGTTGCCACAGTACCGGAAGGAGGTGTTGGATTGAAGTCTTTGTATGTATGAGTATTCGGCTGATAAGAGTTCTTATTAGCCTATACTTAAGTTTAAGTTGTCCTGTACTGGGCCTTTGTTAATGGGCCTAATCCTGTTTAATGTTTTAAGTTGTCTGGGTG